TTAATGCACATTCTTTACGCACTGTTAAATACATTCATATAAAATCCCATTATATAATATTTTTATAGTTATAATTTAATAACTAATTACTTTATATGTAACATAATTAATCATAATTAATATTAATATCATAAAGACACTAGGTACTGATTTAAATCTGTTAATTTTAAACATATTTTTGATTTTATAACGTTTTTATTAGTTCTATTATTATTTACATGTATATATCATCACACTTCTGCCAATAAGTTTCTTGGTATCTTTAATGATCCATTATATTGAGCACAAGATGTTGCAATGTATTAAATTTACTTTCAAAGATTGCAACGTCCACAGGTGAAATAACGTAGATGTGTTTAGCTTGTTAAGTCTAATAGTCTTGTTATTTGACTCAATATTGCGTTTCATCAATTTTATCATCGTTTCAAAATTGGATAAACCTATCGAATCTATAAATGTACCTGTTGAATTTGTCAACAATTCAATTTAAAATAATTTTAAATAAAACTTATGTACTCATCTCGTAATATCTGAATTTAAAATGATAACTTGTACTGTGTCATGCCATAAGATTAATACAAGATTAATGTTAAATACAAGTTCTTTGAAGTTATATATTACAAAATCTTCTTCAAATAAAATATTCAAAAAATAAATGTGTCACATAATTAACATTATTATTTAAAATAAAATTAAAACAAATATTAAATAATAAGCCTTTACTTAAGCAATAAATATATAATAAATATTAATTTTTATATATTTTCACGTAGTGGAATTAAATATAAATTAAATATACATCTCTCTCTAAATCCGTATCGAGAATTTTATCAAATTATTTTACCATGGAAAAGAGTGCTTGTGAAATAAAATTTTCTCATATGAGATTTGCGTAAATACCAATTGACCGGACGAGAATGTCTATCACTGATAATCCATCATAGTTTTATATCGTCTATAATTTGTCTACGCGGACAGGTCTTAACGCTCTCGATCGATCGATCCGAGCTGAGGGATCGTTGTTCAAAAAAATTGAAAAAAATCCAATATATATATATATAAAGCTCGCGTGTCCGGTTTCCACGATGTCCTCCCTCTTAAGCTCCTCACTGTCGCGTATATCGTAGCACGTCTCACGAAGCCCATAAACTTCGATGGGAATCGAGTTTCTTAATAACCTTCCTGCACACGAGATTTCAGCCGACCGTCTCGTAAATAAATCAGTGCCGGAGAAAAATACCGGACTCTGACGAAAAAGGAGAGAGAGAGAGAGAGAGAGAGAGAGAGCGCAAGCGCGCGTACGTGTAC